CCTACTACAATCACTCCCATATATCTTGTGTACAGAAGCAATAGTCTAGATCTAGAGCAGAAGTGTCAAAGTGGATTTCATTGAGGGCTGCATCAGGGTTGTGTTTGACTTCAGGATGCTGGGGTAGGTGTGGCCAGCTCAATGTCACTTGTGTTGGGGACGCCTGTGGTGGCCCAAGCATTCTGCCGGTAAAAACAGGCTCCCAAGCTACATTTTCGGCTGCTACGGCCTCCTGTAACCCTCTGCCAGTGAAATGGAGTTTTTGCTGGCATCATGGGCCAGTCCGTCCCTGTTTTCAGGGCGGCTCCGTGGGGCAGATTTAAGTACCCTGGGGCTGCATCCAGCCTCTGGGCCTTGAGTTTGACACCCCTGATCTAGAGTAAATTAAAGAATGTAAACTTTAGGTTGGTTACTTCATTGTACACTGTATTCCATCTTAGCTTGCAGCATCTGTGTGAAAATTATTTCTCTTGGTCAGGACTAGACTAAAAACTATAACTTGAACAATCTTTAATCAATTAAACAATCTCTAATCAATCAATTGCATGCAAATAGTACAGTGATGGCTAACCTTTTCATCGTTGTGTGCCAAAAGTGCCTGCACCCATAATGCAATGCGTACATGACCCCCCACCCCCCCTGCGCATGTACACAGGATCCCCCACATGCACCACGTGCCTCTGCATGTGCGGTGACCCCCCCATGCACCCCACCCCCTGTGCATGCATGCATGCGTTTCGCACACACACACATACGCAGAATAAACCCAACAATCAGCTGGCTGGCAGGGGGCGTGCGCATGCGCAGTGAATCTTTTCTGGGCAATGGCTCGCTTGCCAGCAGAAATGGTTTTGCATGCCACTTCCGGCACCTGTGCCCTAGGTTTGCCATCACGGATGTAGCATAACATATTAGATTAGGAAAAACTGTATTTTGCTTGGTAAATAAAGAAATCTTTTTAAAGAAAGTTTGTCATAAAAAGCTTTTATGAATATAAAGTAAATAAAAACATGTACTCTAGTAACTTATTATTAACTTCTGTCTTAAACTCACATTTTCCTTTGATCAGAACATTGTGGGTTTTTTTTTATCTTTTGCCCATGTGCCTCACTAATTACATGTCAGTTGTACTGGGACTAACTATGTATATACTACACATGAAGTAATCTAATTTATTGTTCAATTTATTGTTTGAGGAGTAATCTCAGCAAAATAAACTAACATGAAATTTTGTTATATAGTAAAAAAGGTGACAATGTCCTGGTAGGGCTATTTCAAAGTATCAATTATTTCTTCCTCTTTCTCCTCCCCCTTATTTTTCCTTTTCCTTCCTCTTGTTTCCCTTCCTCTCCTTTTTTAAAATAGTTACAACTCCCTAAACATCACAAAAAAGATTTCCAATAGTAGAGACAAAACCAGTGTGCTGTAAATGAGTACTGTCACTGTCAGCATTAATTTTTATAGAAATATAGGGAAAGTTGAAGGAATAACTATGTTATAGATAGAAAGTAAAGTCCAAACTTCCGAATCACAGAGATTCCTTTTTGTTGCATCTGCCTTCAGGTCTAAAAACAACTTTCTGATGCCAACCCTAAAACTATTCCTTTAAATTTGCCTTTGTTGGAAGAAATGTAACACTAACAACATTTCTGCCAAGTGAAAGAATGTAACTTGTTTTGCTTTGTTTGTGCTAAAGCTACTTGCTTCCCATATGTAACCTCACTGGAAATGGGCCTGTCTTAAGAAATCACTTTCTGGATTTCAGCTCATTCCTTTATTTTGGTTATGGCTTGCTAAAATATCAATTGCTCCTTTCCATAGGTGGGACTTTCAGGGCCTGTGGCTTCTACTATATTTTTTTTTATGAGTTCCACTTCCTTGACTCATTATTTAACATCATCTCATCAGGTATATCTATTGGTGGAATGATTAAAAGAAAAGAAAATACAGTATTGTTTTAACCATTCTTCTCTGTACTTGAGATGGAAACTGGCAAAATTCTTGTTATAGAGGGAGGGAGGGAGGAAGGATGGATCACATCCATGAAGGAAATAGAGGCAGTACATTTGCCAATTTTAGATGGTTAGAAAAAGCTCAACATTTCACCGTTCCACTGGTGAATTTACAAAAAAGAAAGAAATCAAATATTTAATATCCAATATTTAATCTTTGACCTGGTAGTCTAAGTAATTTTAATCTTACAGAGTTTATCTGCTGGATACTTGCATGATGGATAGGCCTGAAGCAAACATATATTTATTTCAAGGTGGACATTATGAATTGTGACAGCCCATTAAGATAAAAACATATGTATATTTATATCAATTGTTGATTATGACCATAGTAGGAACAGATTACTATAATTAAATCCTATTATTCAAGGGCATCAGTACTTACAGCTTCCTTAAAACAATCCATTAGCTCCCGAATGTAACATTTTAGTTACTTTAAAAGTAGTTGTAAGAATGTTCTTATGTAATGTGATTATTTGAGTTAATGTCCATCTTTTATTGCAAGGTCAATCCAAAGAGCTTACAAACAGAAAATTCCAGTTATCTAACATAACACAGACAAAGCAGCAGTTCCAACAATCTTCAGTTCATTTTAAACGATTTAGCTGAATGTAAGCTTATGAACATAAACTTATTTAAATTCATACATCTCTGTTTAAAAGGCAAAATGCATATTTTAGTACTTTTAAGAGGATTTCTAAACCTATTAAGACTATTTCATAAAAGTGGGGGGGGGGGGTTTGTATTATCTATATGAACAAGATTTCAGTTTGTTTTAAGAATTCCTGTAAAATGTAAGAAACACACTGATGTTGCTGTAGGATACCGGGCATAAGAACCAACCCCTTTTCTCATTTGTAGAAATGACTTATTTGATATAATTAAAATAGGATATTACGGAAACATTAAGTCAAGGGATATGAATTTAGTGGAGCAAAAACTATACACAATTTCTGACTCAAGCGTACTGTATTGGAGTTTGCATGACTTTTCAGCACTGTTTCATACAAATGTATATAAAGTTTTAATAAGTGCAGAGTAGCAGTTTATATGTAATAGAAAGGGTTATTATATTTGTTGTTCTTTCAAATACACATGTTCCTATAATTTTTCAATTCCAATTTAATATAAGTGAACTAGGATCACCTTTGAAAACATACTTGTTCTACTTTAATGACATTTCTTCATAGGAATATGCATCAGGAAACCTGTGTTCAGAGGGTCATATATGATGAGTCACCAATGAAATGAAAAATCAAGCTTGGATGGATTTCTGTTGGATAGATATTTATTTGGTAGGTAGGTAAATTTTAGCGCAGTCCTTGACTAGCATGTACATCTATATCTAAAGTTCTACATAGTGTATAATATAAAAAATGATAATTAAAAGAAGTTAAGAGTTGAAAATGAAATAAAAGATGAGAAGAGGAAAGTATCAAGGAATGTAATTTTATTGAACAGTATTTGTTGCTTGTATTTGTTGTATTTGTTGCTCATGGTGATTATGGCATTTATATAGGCCTAAATATGGCCTGCTGACTGATACCATTCAGTCTTTATAGAATAAATTGACAATATTATTCTTTTTATAAAAGAAATGGCTACCACTGGCAAGAACAACTCCGAACTAGTGCAATGGTAAGTAAGGTTGCCAAAAGCAAGAATATAAAAAAAGAGAGCAGCCCATTAAAACACTTTTTGTAAAAAAATATCTGAGTCATTATTCACTTATTCACCAAGTTCAAAGTGAGGGTTCTGAGAAGCAACTTGTGCCTCCAATCATTTCACTTCCATTGTATTAACAAGTTTTGAAGTTGCAATCATCAAGTACACCTCAGCATGAATCTCTATCCAAATGACTGGAAGTTTAACACAAAAAGAGCCATTCTCTTTTCCAGTACTTTTGGGGGGATTTAATCCTTTTTCCATTCCTCCACCTGCACCCACCCTCTCTTCGGGTTTTGTCTTGATAGAAAAATGTATGGTTTTGTACAGCAGTGAAAGCCCCGCTCCCTCCTTTCGCGCTATTCATTGGGAAGGTTTCCATAAGGTTGCTTCCAAACCCGCATTTATGCAGAAATAAACTATAAACTCAGAAGTCAATGCGAGTGTACTCCAGCATCAATTATTAGGGCTGACCTAATCTTGCTCCACCCCTCCACTTCCATTCTTTACATCAAGAAATCACAAGGTTAATGTTCCTGTGTTGGCCTCCTCCGAAGCTTTGATTTATTAAAAGGGACCGTATTTGCACACACAGTTGGCGTAATCCAGTTTAGTTCTGTGATGAGCACCTTCCTTTCTCCACGCCCAAAATATTATCGCATCGACTTGACCTTTATAGTATTTCTCGGACCCTTTTATTTTGCAACCGACGTGGGACTCCCCCTCCCGTTCCTTCCCCGCAACGATTCTGTGAGGGGGAAAAAAATATGGGGGCGCATCCTGGCGGCGACCGCCTTTGTCCCCCCTTGAACCTCGCGAGGAAGAGCGCTCGCAGTTCGGTGTGTAAAGTACAGCCTAAGAGCCTGGGGGCACCTTCCTTCTACGCTCTGCCGTGTGTGCGTGTGTGTCTCGTCTCCTCTCTCTCCTTTTCTCCCTCTCCCTCCCCAGCCTGTGTGTGAGCTGCGAGCGCCGCCGCCGCCGCCGCTGCCCTTTGATCCCTGCATTAGTGTTAGTTAGGGGCTTGGAGACACACAGGGAGCAGCCATAGACACCGCCGCACCAGCCCTCGTTATTGGCACCGCGTATGAGCACACTCCTCTCCCTCGTCCATTAGATCCCTTTCCAATGAGGAATATTACGACCGGGGACTAACCAGGTGCACGACCGGGGGGCCAGAAAAGGAAAAGGTGGGGGAGGAAGGGCACGGAAAAGGGGAGCGGGGAATCCCTTCTCCTTGGCTCCAGGAAAAGCGGCTTTCTAACCGCCTCCACCCCCCACCCCCCCACTTGCCCACGAGAAGAAACCTCTGCTGGGCAGCTCCCCTTGCCCCGCTTTGTGCCTGCTTCTGTCCCTCTTTGGGATTTTTTTTCCTTTGGTCTCCCATTAAACCAAGGAGGAGAATGTGAAAAGGGGCGAAAATGCCCAGGAGGAAGCAGGAGCAACCCAAGCGCCTCTCTTCACGTAAGTGCTTCTTTTCTCTCTCCCCCCCTCTTCTCTGTCCCCCCCTACCTTCCCCCTTTCTTTCTCTGCCTGTCTCCGTCCTCCCTTTCTGCAGCCTCCTCCGTTGTTTTGTGCTTTAGTTTAGGGTTACAGAGGTGAAACTGACAAAGACAGCACCCGGGTTATGCCTCTTTTAGGTCTGAGCTAAGGCAGCCATGTTGGTGATGAACAGCCTTGTGCCCTTTTAATTTTCTCTCTCTCTCTCCTCTCTTTCTCTCTCTCTCTCTCCCTCTCCCTCTGTGTGTCTGAGTGCGTCTGTGTGAGCGCGAGAGGGAGTATGTGTGTGTGTGTGTCTGTCTTTCCCTCCTCTCTTTCTTCGCTCTCTTTCTAGCTCTTTCCCCTCCCCTTTCTTTTGATTGTGCATTTGTGTGCGTGTACGGACGGGTTTCTTTCTTTTAGTCTGAAGGGGGGGGTCTTTTTATTGGGGTGGGGAGTCGCAACTGGAAGGGTTTCTGGTGTCTTGTGCGGAATCGATTGCGAGGTCCGTCTCCGGCTAAAGGTTGCGGCTGGGCTGGTCGGCCTTGGAGCCGGGGAGGAGGCGGGAGAAGGCGAAGAGCAGCGGGGAGGGCGAGGCAGCGGTGGGGTGGGGTGGGGGGATAGGATAGAGGGACTCAGGAGAGTCCGGGTCTGCCGCTTTGCCGCCGCCGAGCAGTGCGGGAGGCGGGGGGGGGGGTTGGAGGGCGAGAAGGGAGATCGTGGCATGCGAGGTCCCTGCAGAGCAGCGGAGGTGGCGGAGGCGGCGGCGTAGCAGCGGCGGCGGCAGGCGAGCTGGAGTGTGCTTCGCCTCCTCGCTGCAATAAAATGAAGGGTCAGATGCAGCCTCAGCGAGCCAGAGGTTTCCGCGTCTCTGCCCCAGAGCAGAGCAGCAGAAGAAACCAGGAAGGACTTGAGAGCGCACATCGCCCCCACTTCTCCCCACCCAGCGCGGGCAGAGCACATACTACACCGCAGTTCCCCCCCCCCCACAACATTCCCCGCCGGTTTGCGCCCCCCAATCCTCCTCTTCCTCCTCCTCAATTCTTCGCAAAGCAGTTAACTTTTTCTTCTGCTTCCCTCTGGAAGGGAGAAGTGACCGGGCATATTCTTTGCAGAGAAGGAAGAGGAAATAATATTCGGACGAATAAGATTTTAAAAGACCTTGAAAGCCACCCGGGGCTCCTTCTGGTTGGCCTCCAAAGAAAAGAGGAATGAAGGCGGGGGTGGATCGGAGGGGTCATTTCCCTCCCCCCCCCAACCTCCCTGCCTCCGCACCGACGTTCAGTGCAGCCTGGCTTGGCCCCTCCCTGGCTGCGCCCCGAGGTTCGTAGTCGGCAGGCTGAACTGCTTATGTGTCAAAGCCACGGTCGGTCACCTGAAGTTCACCCGGGAGGGGGAGCCGAGAGGAAGGGAAAGAGAAGACTGTGGCGGGTGGCTGCTGAGGAGGGGCGCCTGCATGCGTGGGAGGGTGAGCGGCTGTGCCCTCGTCGCAGGGGAAGGGGCGATCGATGGCTGGTTCAGATGTATAATTAAACGAGAGTTGATAGAGGGAACGATTCCCGGGGATAACCACAACGCCCCCTCCCACCTTTTGCTCCCGCCGCTCTGTCCTAAAGCTCATAGCCGCGTCTTCCTCTCTCCTGCCGCCCTCCCCCCAGCCCAGCATACGGGATCAGCCTGGCACACATGATCCGGGGCTGAGGTAGGGGAAGGCAGGGCAGGGCACGGCATGGCACTCCTGGGGGAGCGCGCGCGCACAGCCTGCCTTTTCCTTGCCGCGTAAACTCGGGGCTTGAAGGGCTTCCTGTTTGACCCCTCCCAGCACAGGGCTCGATTTTTTTATACACACACACACACAGAGAGAGAGAGAGAGAGAGAGAGGGTCGGCCTCGCGATGTTAAAAGGAATCTATGTATAGTTAAAAGCCAGAGAGCCGTGCTCCTAGGAAAACCGAATTCAGGAAGCTTGCATAAGTGAGTTTCCTGAACCCGCAAGGGACTCCTTTTGCTGTTCCCCTATTTCTCTAGTGGGAGGGGGGAGAGGATGATAGTGATGCTTTGCAAGAAACTGAGAAAGAGAGAGAGACGGTTGTGTTTTAAAAGTGCCTAGTTGTGAAATACCATACAAGCCAACAGGAACACACGAGAATTTGAAATATAAAGTTGTTTTGTTTTTAACCGGCGTGTGTGTGTGTGTGTGTGTGTGTGTGTGTGTGTGTGTGTGTGCGCGCGCGCGCGCGCAGAAAGTCTGGGCGTACAGTTTGGAAGGCCTGTTGTGCTTGCTGTTGAAGAGAGCAGTGCAAGCAGCTGCAAAGTGCCCCGCTAGTGACCTGGCCCTGGCTCTGCTGCCCTTTCTGTCTGTTTCTCCAGGGCAGAGATGAAATTCTGTCTCCATTTTGGATCATTCAAGGAGGATTTGTCTTGCAAACAGGCAGTTTGTAGTTTTGCTTTTGTGTGTATCTGAATTTTAACTTTGTCTTCCTCCCCAGAATTGCAAATTTTATTGTTCACTCAGGCTAGCTGCTTGTAGACAAGTGAACATTATTTAAACTAGAAACAGTTTTTTTAAAAAAACGTGGCTTCATCATTCTCCAGCTTTGATGCTTAGTTTTAATACATTATAATGATTTTCAGACATGTATGCCTCAGAAGGAGAAAGTTGTGTTTAGCCTCATTTCTGATGAAATGTGAACTTGCCTTTGTTCTACATTTATCATCGGTACATTTTAGAAAATAAAAATGTTAATTTGTTATTGAGGCTTCCATAAAACATGAGAATTTGTTCATGTGTGTGTGAAACATTTGTAATGTTTGTTTTCAGTGGGAAATTTAGATAAATGTTCTTTGAAAAGAACCTAAGTATTCTACAGCTCATTATAAATGATGTTGAGCTTGCTTCTCAAAAACTAGCTATACTGAAGTTGAAAAAATTTATTTCTAATCAGATGTGTTTTAAAAATTAGTGTGTATTTTAAGCAAGAGAAATTAATAAGCAAATCCTAGTTTAGTATGTTTAAACATGTGGGAATAGTTTGACTTTATTTGTGAGCAAATATAACTAAGCATTTGGATGTTCTATAGATTCATACATATTTATTCCTCCAATATTGCATTTCAGAAATGTTGTGATATTGAAATAAAATGCTACCATATGATTGTGCTGGACTTTTGCAAGTGATAAAGTTCCTTCACTTTGTGAAAAGCTGAGATAAATACATGAGGAAGATTTTGATCTAAATATGTCTTTGAGAAAAGGTTTTATATAGCATAAAAATATAAAATGACAGTAATCGGAGAAGTAGAGAACATTATATAATATGATGTTTAGATAGATATATAGATGGACAGTCAGAGCAAAGGTTATCTTTTCTTTTGCAACTTCATCTCCTGGGATCAAATGAATTGATCCAGTAACAAGGCAGTTGTTGAAAGAAAATCTAAAAAGGGTTATTACTGATTCTCTGCAGAATTGAAGGAAATGTACAACTCTCAATTTCACTGCAGTTCTGCAAACCTGGGAAAAGTTGCAAATATTTGCAGTTTTACAGCTGCAGTAGCAAGCAGCCAGGTTCTACTGTGAAAAGTGCTTGGTTGCAAAGAATACCGAAATGCTAACCTCTTGACTTTACAAATCACATTTGCTCTTAAATAGAAACAGAAGGAATGGCATCCCTGCAGCCAGGAAGGCTTCCCTTGAAACAACCAGATTTTTTAAAATTTCAGTTGGCTAAACCAGTTCACATATCATGAACTAAAAATAGGAGGGAATTTTATTAATATTCATTAGCAAGAGAGAGAGGAGCTAAAAGTTCTTACGCGGGTTCTCTATATTTTGGCAGAACTGAAGGAGATTGTAGGACAACTTCAAACTGTTTTGAGGGATTGGGGAGTGAAGAATAATGTGTTCTTTTGTGCTGTTCTTTTACAGCTATGTATTTTAATTCTATTTACTATTTTTTGATGAGGAAACATTTGATAATGTATGATGTTTCCACTATGATGTTTTCTTTGAACCTCCTATTTATGATTGTCTCACCCAAAAATGTACCTAAGATACAAAACCCCTCACAATATTTAGCATTTATAGAGAATATTTGATACACCTTTTAACAAGGAAGACTAAATTGGTATTATTGCTTCTAACTGAGGTTATGAACTAATGTTTTCAAATTATTTTCATTCATAAAAGTAGGAGAAATGAATAGGGAATTAAAACTATGCTCTAGAGTCTAGGTTAAATGTTCCCACTCAGATTTTTAAAAATATGTCTTATACCTCTATAGCATTGCCAATAATTATAAATGATAATAAATAATAAATGATTTTCAACACTGGAAATCAAAATAATAAATTGTTATAATTTTATTCTTACTTGTGGAGAAATTAGTTTGACATTATACCATCTTCCTTCGTACTTGGAATCAGATAGGGTATGAGTAGCAATGAAATGCAGGTAGTTCTTGATTTCTAATAATTCATTTAGCGACTGTTCAAAGTTACAATGGCACCGAAAAAAATAACTCATTATCATTTTTCACAGTTATGGACTTTGCAGCATCCCCATAGTCCATGTGATCAAAATTCAGATGCTGGCAACTGGTTCATATTTATATCTGTTGCTGTATCCCAAATAAATAAATAAAACAAAAACTTCATTGTACCTATACTGATGAGGAAAAAAAGTGCAAAATACACAAAATGACCACAGAAGCTAAGACGGCACGGGGTTAGGCACAGAGCAAGAGCTACAGTGTGACTAATGCATGACACTTCGTTTTGACTGGAAAGGGTAGCAAGTCACGAGGCAACTGATACCAACAAGTTCTAGCTTGTGTGTTGAGTACAAAACACATGATGAGTACCGGGACATTTTTTTTTTTTCATAAAATGCACCAAGTACTATATGTGATTACTTTCAAAGCAGTCGAGTACCAAGGTATCATTGTATACAAGATCCCAGTTTTGCTCAAGTAAGTTATTCCCATA